TTTTTTTTTTTTTTTTTTTTTTTTTTTTTTTTTTTTTTTTTTTAACTTGCTGCTCTTAAATTTGGCTCTATTCGCAAGAAAGTCTTCTAAGGCTTGTTCAGAGGTAAGATCACTGGAGGGCCTGGAAAGAAATGTAGGCATGAAGGGTCAGTAAGGCCCAGACGTATCTGATCAATACTGATCATCCATACTGTTGTCTATTTCTCTAGCTCCACTGGTTGGTAGTGCCTCCAGGTGGTCAGTCTGCAGCAGTTTGCTAAAAATCAGTATTAAACTGATAAGGAACCTTGAGACATGCACTCATACCCGTACATTTCTAGGTTTTGATTATTGTTGCTGAAAACTTGCTGCTCAAAAAAAATCAATCTAAGAACTTTCAGAATGCTTTATTGAACAAGTTCTGCATATGTTTTATATAAATTGCTTCATAATCTAATAAGAAAATGAATAAAAATATTTTTCTTCATCAATAATGCACAATACAAGTCTTCTTATTAAAACATTGAAGGCACCAATACATGTGCAGTGAGGCCGTTCCAACACACTGTAAATACATTAATCAAGTCTGCTGAAGCATGGTAATTACTGTGGTCCAACAGACTCCAGCGTCATGTGTATCAGCATCCCCATGCTGGTGGCAGGGGTGCTTTAACTAAAGCTTGTTCAATGAGCTTTCATTAAAGCGCCCCATTACCATGTTTCAGTGTGGTGACACTGATACACATGACACTCTGGGTCCTGGTCTTATTAAATTGCCTCCCCCCCTCCACTCCCTGAATATGTGTATAAATGCCCTGAAATGCTATACAAAGCACTGGCCACAAGAAAGTTACTCAAAAATTGTCATAAAGATTTCTAAATATTTTCCTGTTTAAAGCAAGTTTATTTTTTCTAGTATCATGTCAATTGCTGTTGGATCACAAGTCTGCCTTATCGTAAACCATAATTTTTCAGCACTTATATAGAAAATGCAAATCAAAACTGAACTTAACAGGAATTTAATTCCAGGGGGAAAAATCTTATGGAGTCCAAAACTGCACAAAAAAGGGAAAACATATCTGAATACCCTGAAAAATATAACTAAAGTAGAAAATTTATATTGGAGAACTATTTCAAAATGTTTCCTCAGGCCTGCTAGAGTAATTTTACATTGTAGCAAGGAAACCCAAAGCAGTAGCAAAGTCTGGTAGCCAGAACTTCCTTGATCCTTTCCTGTTATGTCTGGTAATAGACCCTGCTTCATCCAGAGTTGTTATACATTGCACATGTCATGTAACTTTAATATAGTAATAATGGAGAACAAACCATATGGGTTGCCATAAAACTTTTTTCAGATTCTCTCTCATGTATAAAAGTAGAACTACTTATCTGAAATGCAACCTAAGATCATCAAATAAAAAGTATCAGCATTTGAAATAAGATCAGCCGTGTGCTTCTAAGCTACAACAATATATTTACATGCATTGTAGGTAAGAATTAACATATAAAATCACTGCTGCTATAATCTCGACTATAGTTTTGTGTAAACACCTGGTAGGTAGAGAAAAATAGCCAAGTTTAGATCTGCAGTTTAGGACATGGATTTTTCAGAGAATTCATGACTTATCAGTTGTAGACTGAGCTAAATTTAACTAAAAATAAGGGAACCAAACCCTTGTTTGTAATAAACCAAACAAAAATATGACAAGGCACAATTCTGATAAATTCCACAATATTCTCCTTAACATCAAAGAATACTGGCTTGAGCAGGACTCGTTCGTGTGAATAAAAGTTGCATTATCCGAACCTTCTTTTTCAAGAGGTAAGACCCTACCACCTATCAGGCAAAGTAACACATCTACTGTGTTAGACAGAACTAGACCTGGCAAAAATATTTCATTTTAGATGGTTCTGATTCTATTCTTTGTTCTTGGCCCCTGGGACTTGGTTTCAATGTCCAGGCAGCTGGAACAGAACACCATTTTACTACAGCAATTCCTCCTGGATTGTAGGGAATGGTGCTATGAACTATGACTGTCCCTTAGACTTAGACTGAAACTGCACTATTTTTGGGGGTGACCTCATAGCTTCTGCAAACCAATGAACCAGAAGTGAAAACTAAGGTGACCACTAGCAGCTTCCCTGATGTACTTACTGGCTGCAGCAGCTTCAAGACCACTTCTCCCAGAATGTCTATACAAGTATGTTAATAAAGAAGGGGCTGGGAAAGATGAGAAAATCAAGGGCACAGACAGAAGCAACAATTTTCTCCCAATCTGGCCACAGAAAGAGGTCTGTAGCCATGACCAAACACAAGCGCATGGCTGCAGACCACTTAAAAAATGGCCAACTGGGAAAAAAAATCTGAACCCTAATTGCATGAGGAGGGGTTGTTGCTAGGGGGAAACCAGCTGCAGGCTTGCAGCCAGCAGCTAGATTGCCTTCATCCCTAGAATCAACAGTGAACTTCTGTTCGGTCCGAGGGATTGTTGCAACTCAGAACACTTCCTGCAAAATGTTCTGAGTTACAGCAGGGAACTGCACTTCTGCCTGTGCCCCAAATGCCCAGCCATGAGACAAACCTGCCTTCAACAAGAAAATGAAAAGACTGAGACTTCCTTCTAGTTGACCCCCAATTCTACATCAGGCTTCCCTTATTTTTATGTATGGTAAAAAGCACAGCAATACATTGTTTATGAAGCAGAATCAACAAAATGCATTTATTTCTCACAAGGATTTAATAGACTCTTTAAAACTATCCAGACAAAATCCCAAATCTCAAAATTGATCTGCTTTTCAGGCTATCTAAATAAAACATATAAACACAAAAAACCAAAACAAAAAATAACGCTTTTCACTTTCCCCCCACCCATTCAACTTTGACAGTTGCAGCAGGTGTTGCCATGGTATCTGGTGTCATCATGAATGGCATATGTGCTAGTATTTACAATCAATTAAAAACAAACTCTTGCAGCTTTAAATAAGAAATTCTTAAGAAGAACTGAGATGAAAGCAGGTAAAGAACATCGTGTTCAGGCCCTTTTTACACACTGTGCACAAACAGGATATCATCAGATCAAATCCTGAAGATTTTTTTAAAGCAACTCCTCCTACACCAATGCCAAGCCAACACTTGTTAAAGGAGTAACCTCCTAAGAAATGCAGTTCACTTCATCCAGAACCTGTTCTCAATTAGGAGACACTGATCAAATTATCTATCTTATCTCAAATTATCTATCTTCTCATTCACTCACCTTTAGGGTTGAAATCTGCTGTATAATCAGCAACAGCAATAAGAAGGGGAAGCAAAAACAAATAAGATAACATTTAAAAGAATGAACAAAGAGATCTAATAATTAAAAGTGTAGAAAAGAAATTAAAATTAATAAACCTTTGGAAGGAGTCTAAATATAAAAGCATAATTTTATTCAAAAAAGGGAAGAAAAACAGGCCAAAGACCAGTTTCAACCTTGGTATTCCATTCAAACCAGGAAAAACATATTTAATTCAACTGTATGAATTCCACAGTTATACCAAGTATTAACTTGGCCCACAATTTTGGATCACTTATATAAATGAAAATGCATTCCAGCAAAAGGTTAGATAAGATGAGGCTATGAAAAGACAATTTTTCAAAATATATATTAAGACTTGATTTTGCAAACACAACTTGGGATAATATTTATGTAAAACTACCAAATACTGTAAGTGAATATCTGAACATCCATTATGTTATTTAAATAGCCTTATATTTTTTTATGCTCCCTTTGCTGAGACATTAGTGTTAATGTGATTATTAAAGACAAACTGTTAAGGTGATTCTCTAAGAAATGGCGACAGGCTTCCCCAATGACTTCATTTCATTAAATTGACATTAAATATGCTCAGGTAACAAGCATTATTTCTAAACTGCAAGGCGTACAAATTTGACATAATTTCTTTAAGTCAGCCTGAAGTATTTATTTTAAGTAATAATTATTCTTTTCAGTTTATAGGAAGAAATAACTCGCTAAAAAACAAGTACACATCAGTAATTCAAAATACAAAATATCAATCTGTATGATTTACATGCAGCCCTGGACTAGAAACAGCCCCAAGCCACACTGCTCGTAGGAACAGCATTTCTGGTCATTAGGTACAAGCACTGTCGGAAATCCTCAAAGTGAAACAACTACAGCTGTGTCCATTGCTTGGGGAGAAGACTCAAAGCAACCTTTCCCTTCTCACTCTCTGCACACCCATGTACTCTAGCCTGAAGAAGACAGATCAGTCACAAAATGAGGTGCTGTTTTTACAGTCATATTTAGGAGCGGATCTGCACTTTAAACTGCTATTCACGAACATCTGGACTGTTTCCTCCAACTACCCCAACTGATCATAGGCTAGTGTTTTTCCAGTAACAATCAACGGTCAAACATATGCTTAACCAAAAACTTATGCCAGGTGACACACCCTGAAAGTATGCATGTTCGGGCTGCAAGTGGACCAGAGAAAGTAAATCCCACAATCAACAGTCCACTACTCCTCTCAGTTTTCAAGAATTTAAAATCCTGTGCCTTTCAGCAAAAGTGCATCAGATGAAATCAGGCTCAGTTTTAGCAGTAAAGATTTTGCCATCAGCAGACCAACACTTAGGTATTCTGTAGCACATACTTATTAGAGGCTCTAAAAATAGTCGGCACTACTCCTAGTCTTCCTGAGATCAAGAATACCCAATTCACAGGAGTGCTCCTCATATGTTGCCTAGGGAAATGCAGCAGATTGGCCATGAGGGAAAGAAATAAACTTGAAATCTGTTCCAACTACCAATGAGGAGGGAGAGAAAGAGAAAGCAGGTTTGTGGCCAAATCCTAAGTTGATATAAAGGAGTATTTTCATTTACTTTCAATTATGCCAGTGACATATTACCCATTTTTTCCCACATATATATTGCAACAGAAACTCAAACAAATACACTTGGTGCCATTTAAGCATGATGTAACAACATAACAATATGTGTAATACAACATGGTTTCTTGCACTTACAGGATAGCCAATTTAGCTTCAATATGCATGAGGGCAAACTGACCCTGGACAGGCTGGGTCATTATTATATGGAATGACTTGGGTATTTGTCTTACAATTACTTCCTCACTCTACTTTCCCTTTTAGTCGGTGCAAGAACCTCTTTTAAACAAATAAACTAATTTCAGTGCCTATTAAAACCTTTTCCTAGGCGATCAGATAGTAATTCCATTTGTAGTTGGCAGATTTAGCAGTGAGGTAAAGGACTGAACAGTCATAAAGAAGTAACTTGATTTCTCAGCACTATAGGGGCCGTTACTTCCACCTCAGCACTGAAGTAAATACAATATTTTCTTACATACCACATGCCCTTAAATAAGACACACGCCATGTTGTTAGGAAGGCAAAATGAAGGAATAAAATTAAAAGATTTTTCTTGAGTTATGGCTGCATGGAGCAGGGGTGGTAATCTTCAGCTTATTAACCTTTCCTTTCCTGCTTCAGGGAAAACTGAACCCTAGCTGCTCCCGAAGACTAGTGCCAAGGGATGGATCTATGATTCTGAAAAGGGCTGAAGAGTCTCCAGGGCAATGAAATTGAAAAAGAGAGACCAGAAGCAGCTAGCAGACAGCAAAACCGCCTGAATGCAAGTTAGCTTAATTAGGGCTGACTAAGGAAAAAGTGCATGTGGTATGAAAGTAAATATGGTAACGGAGCTTGCACAGCCACTTTTCATGCTGTAAGTATTTGTATTTCTATACATACTTCTACTTCTGTAAATGCTTTGGGTTTACATAACAGTGCTATATAAAATATTAGGAAAAACCATAGGAGATTGGATTGTCATGGAAACAGCTATTTTAAAGGAAAAATTAACAGTACATAATAGACACAAACCAAAAATTTGGGGTGAAAGGGGAGGGGAGAATTTATTGGAAATCTCTACTTTCTCACCTGTTGGTGTGTTATATGAAAATATTGCATTTCCTTCCAATTCTGCTGGTGGGCAATTCCCCTTTAGAAAGGCAGACAGGACTACAGTTTTAGATACTGCGGGTCCTAAAATAATAAAAAGTTTATGTGAAATATGTTCAACTGAAAGAAAACAGATTTTCCAAAACTGGAGGATATGTTTTTAATCAAACTAGTGTCACCAAATTACTACACAGAATTGTGTCATCGATATATAACCCCTCCCCACAAAGATAGTTTGAAACTTTTAAAATGCATCTAGTGAGAGATCTCTGTGCATCACATTAGAAAAACTTGGTGTGAATACATTTTTTACATTTCAGTGATAGTATTTTCCTAAGTCATCAGCCCTTTGTCCCTGAGGTAACATGCCACTGGAGCATAGGAACTGCCATGCCAAATGAAACCAGTGGTCCAAGAAGTCCATTAAGCCCATCTTGAACAGTGGACAATACTAGATTCTTAAGGCAAAATATTAGACATAGGGTCAGCACACCAAACCCATGCCACAGGACTTTGGTTTGTAGCTCCCTTTATAATCTTTAAAAAAAATCTTCTCTGCAGTTATGTCAAAGAGGCTGCAACAGAGCTGATGTCAAGAAAACAGGAAAAAATGAGGGAGGAATTTATTCCTGAACACAGGTAACTGAGCTTTGCCTCCTTTCCTGATGCTCAACAGCAATTCCCTACATGGGCACCAGAATGCCTCAGCTGAGCACTCCTAGAAGCAGCTTTCCTTTTTCCCCTAACTCCTACTTCCAGACTACCTTCTTTAATTTCAACCACTGCAAACCACTTATCAGGCTGAAGGAGGCTCCTTACCTACTTTTACTAGCTCTCTCATATTCCTGACTACATCCAAAGACCAGCATCCAGTAGGGAAATCCCCAACCAACAAGAAAAGGAAAAACATAGGGGTAATAATCCCCAAGGATTAAAAGGATAAGGGCAGAGGTGGGAAGAGAAAAGAATCCTTCAGAAGGAGGTAGAGAAGAGAAGGAGAAGAAGAAATTAAGAATCCATAAGATAAGGAAAAAAAAGCAGGAGATTATATAAGGGGTAATAATGGGGGGAAAGAAGGGTGAGAATTTATTAAGTGGTGGTGGTTGAGAAGAATGGCCCAATCAGGACACCTGGGGAAAAGAAAAGACTGACAAAATTGATCGTCTGAGGATGTTACACAGATGTTAAGATAATGGACAGAGGAAAGGAAGTTTAAAAAAAACTAATTTTCATTGTTTAAAGTTGTTAACTGTCCATACATGTTTAAAGACCTACTTTTATTGAGAAAGAGGTTCATTCTGCAGTTGGAAACCACTGAGAAATTTGCTTCTTGACAGTGGTGTAGGCTGTAACTGTGTTGGTCTAAGGATATAGGCAGACAAGGTTCTTTGGGTGAATCTGATATCTTTTATTAGACCAAATGAAATGGTTGGAAAAAAAAAATTTAGCAAGCTTTTGAGTTCAAAAACCCTTCAAAAACCAGGCTGAGGAAGCCCCTGCAGTTGGTGTGTGCTCATTCCATCCAGGAAGAGCACACACCAACTGCAGAGGATTCCTCAGCCTGACAAAGGGTTTTTAAATCCGAAAGCTTGCTAAACATTTTTTTCCAACTATTTCAGTTAGTCTAATAAAAGATATCAAATTCACCCAAAGAACCTTGTCTTCTTGACAGTGAATTTCTTACTCGCAGTATGTTAAGTCTAATGGCAATGCAAATTTGACTCTACCCACTGAATGCATTTGACATTTGTCTGCTTTGAAGGAAGCTAGAAGGTAGTGCATAATTAGAATACCTTAGGATAGATGAAGTTCTTACTAAACTAAACAAGCTGCTAATTTATGCCCAGAAATTGAGGATTTATGTCTATTTTTAAGTTTCTAATGTAAATATCAAAGTTCTCATAGGAAGTTTTTTTAAGCCCACTAAAGTTTGGGTCTTGGTGGGATTGAAAAGCACCAAATTTAAATGTCCCCATTATCCACTTTAAATTTGTAACTTTTCAGTTTTATATTGATTTCCTTTTTTCCTATATTGCACTTCAACTATGATACATCTTAGCAATGTTAGTCATTAATTTCCATACCTGTCTTCTTTCCCTGTCTCAAAAAATAGCAACCTTTCAATTTCTCTTCATGCTGAAGTCTTTCCATGCCCTAGAATTTTTTGTTTGCTTAATACCATATCTTTTTGAGGCAGGATGACCCATACTGAACGCAAGGGTGGGAACACAATATATTCAGCAACATTTTCTATCCCATTCTTTACAGCATTATTTTTCCCCTAATGCCACTGTTGTTTCTTGTTTTAAAGGGGTATCTATAGTAGCCATGTAAAAAGTGAAGTTACCAGACCTCCGAGAATATAGAAACCTAAGTAACTCTTTGAGGATAAGACTCCAGCAATCCCACAGTTTAATAAATGTGTTAAGTATGCTGTAATGATAAAAGAAGAATTTACCTATATCATTAAAGATGAACTGGTCACAGGTCAATGCTAAAGGAGGTTGTACACATACTGATAACTTTGGTTTCTGCACAGCCAGTCTGCTTTGTACTGTGATCTAAAGCAATTTGAAAATAAAAATATATATACATATTTAAAACAAATTAATCAGATTAATCTCCTTTTAACTGAGAAAAAGGCATAACTACCAAAGATCTGTGTTTAAAAAAAACCTACACAGAACCATTCAGTAATAACATTTGGAAATTTTGAATTCAAAAGTTATTTCCCCTTGTATAGTTCAACTAATTAGCACCAAACAAATTGAACTGTATGTATGCTAGGACCATGAGTTTGTGGGGAAAAAAAATGGAGATATTTATCAAGTTAACTTGGCTGGCAACATTAATTCCAAGACTAAATTATCTTACCTATGGTAATACAAAATTCATTTATTGTTTTGCAAATATCCAGCTTGTTTAATAAAAGTAAATATACTTGCATCTTCCTCAAAATAAAAAAAGGCATTTAAAAAAAAAAGAAAAGGAAAGGAAATTTACATAAAGAATCTACTCGGAGAGCAGATTCATTCTGCGTGGTATCCAAAGGTCTCCAGGTTAAGGGCAAGTCTGCCTAGTGCTAGAAGCATGTTTCAGAATCAAGGGATCTCTATCAAGAACATTTGGATGAAAGAGCCGACTCAGCTGTGATCTGGAATGTCCTAGATTATTTTTCTTGCCATGGATAGGGCCAACAAGAGGCTGACTGAAGAGAACGGGCTAAATTCCGGTACAAAAAGAAGTTACAAGTTGTGCCAAATTATGACCTAGGCCAATTTTTAAAAGGATGCTCCAGACAAATGTGTTTCTTATAACATGCTTACACACAAAACGGCATCAATTTAATTAAAATCAGACTAATTGAAATCAATGTAACCCCGTCAATAAACAGATCTGAGCATCCATGTGGAGGTTACACCAATTTAGCTAAATTAATTTGAAGGCATTTTTTGGTTTAGCAGGTGTAGGTTTTGGATACAGATAAACCCTTAGATTGTCTGTGCTTCACAGACTTCTTGTTTACCTTAGTTTCTTTTCTACCTTGGAAAACTCATAACATCAGCAGTTCCCATTGCTTGAAGAAGGGTGTTTGTCCCTGAAAGCTTGCAAAGAATTTTTTTCCAACTATTTACTTCATCTAATAAAAGATACCACATCTACCCAAAGAATCTTGCTTGCCTATGCGCTTAGCAATGCTTTAAAAAGAAATGAAACCTTTGTGGGACAAAAGCTGAGGCTACATAGGTCTGCTATACACTCTGAAATGAAAATCTCAGTGAAAAAAAAAACTCAGCCAGAGACTTGAATTCAAATCCTTGTTGAAGCCTGAAAATGTATTTATTTAAATTGTTAAAGTTGTGGTTAAAATGGTAACATTTAAATGTTTTTAAGTGACAGGTCAATGAAATGGTTATGAAACACATAAACACTTCAGTTTTACAAAGTATTTTGGGTGGGATCCTGTGCTTCACCTGACAGGATATCAGAAGTACACTATAACAATTTTTTTAAGACAACTTTTTACCCAGCAAACCTGGAGCTACTGTAAGTGCTGGCCAGGGTTTCCATGACGTTGTTTCTCATGATATTCTCATTAGTAAGCCAAGGAAACAGGCCAGAAGAAAGTACTGGAAGGTGAATACATAACTGGTTGGATCATTATGCTCAAAGCCACTGACCATCATCAATGGCTTGATGAAATAACAAGTGTGGTTACTCAGGTGTCTGTCCTGAGTCTGATACCGTTTAAGAGCTTCATTAATGATTTGGAAAAGGACACTGAGCACAGAAGGAAATTTTACAGACTACACCAAGATGGACAGAGCTGCAGACAATCTGGGAGGTCAGAACTAGGATTCAAAATGATTGGAAAATATGTCCAAAATTAACTGACTACAATTCAATAAGGACAAGTGCAAAGTCACGCACGAGAGACAGAACAATCACATACTCAAATACAAACTAGGAAATGACTGCTTAGACTTCAATACTGCAGAAAATGAGTTTGGGTTTATAGTGGACTGCAAGTTGAATACCAGTCAACAGTGCTCTTGCTGCAAAACAAGCCAGTAACATGCTTGGCTGTATTAACAGAACTATTGCTTGCAAACCAAGGGAAGTGATTCTTCCACTGTTCAGCATTGGTATAGCCTTGCTGGTAGTACTATGTCCAGCTTGGTGCACTATACTTCAACATATATCCAAACAAATTAAAGAGTTAAGGGAAGAGCAACAAAAATGATCAGAGGTCCAGAAACATGACTTATAAGGGAAAGTTGAAAGAACTGGAATTATTTAGTCTACAAAAGACTGAGTGTAGATTTGGTAAGTCTTCAAACATATGCTACAGTTAAAAAAAAAAAAAAAAGAGAGAGAGAGAGAGAATAACAGTAAACTATTCACTGTGGTTGCAGAGGACTGGACAAGCAGTAATGGTCTTAAATTGCTGTAAAGGGAGTTTAGGCTGAATATTAAAAAGAACTTTCACTATGAGGGTAGCAAAGCACTGGAACAAGTTGTCTTTAGAGAATCTCCATTCTTCTTGGAAGTCTTTAAGAACAGGTTAGCACATGAACGACTCATGCCTCCTGTGGCTGGGGAGGGCACAGCAACTGCCCGCAGACAGTGGCAGCAGTGTCAGTGGCCTGGTGGTGGCAAACGGGGACCGCCCGCAGGTGGCCACAGTGACATCGGCAGCGAGGGGGGGCCAAGCAGGGACTGCCCGCAGGCAGCCACAGTGACATTGGTGGTGAGAGTGGGCCAAGCAGGGACTACCCGCAGGCAGCCGCGGTGGTGTCAGCAACGAAGGTGGGGGTGGCGGCAGCAGCACTGGTGGCGGTCAATCTCAGTGGGGGCATGTGCTCTCCCATTCCGCTCCT